GTGTGTGTGTGTGTGTGTGTGTGTGTGTGTGTGCGTGCGCCAGTGTGTTTGTATGTGTTAGCACAAAATATGAGGCTTGTGTTTGTGTGTATGCGTATATGTGTCTGTGAGGAGGTGGGGAAAGAGTGGGGAGGCAATTATGCTGCTCAAAGTTACCATTTATGTAATGATATATGAATTTGCACACTCATGCATGTGCATGTATGTGCTTGGTAGCGCTTATGGTGCATATTTTCATGCGCTCAACTCATGTTCTGTCATATTTACACCGGATTTTCCACATGAGATCTTCTCACCAATTTTAATATAACAAAGTAGGTTGCGGAAAGTGAAATTAGAATCAACGAAACCGAAACAAACATTAACACCCATTAATCCCTCTCCCTACCCCCACCTCCCCGTCCTTCCAGGTTGGAACATGCAGTCTCAAGCTCCGTGGCTCTGTCTTCTCGGCCTTGAGCAGCGCCCTCTGGGGTCTGGGCCAGCTGGACAAAGCCATCTACTTCATGCAGCAGGACATGGCTGTTGCCAAAAATCTTGGTGAGTTGCTTACACACACACTTTCAATTTGTTTCTTTCTTACAATCAGTTGTTCTTCCATAGCCTGTAGGGCTTGTTCCGTAATTTATCATTATCAAACACGAAATTGAAGTTAGCTCTTTCACGTTTTCAGTCTATAGTTGACCGCACTGAAAACCTTGCTTTTCATGTTATAGCCTGAAGAAAAAAGAGAGATTCATATAGACAGGGAGACAACTGTATGTTTATTTAGTTTTCTTTTTTTTGGCAGTAGTTGTTTCCCTTGACTGTAATTACAATAATATTACTATAATAATATAATAATTATAATCTTGATAAAGGAAACCAAAAAAATTCCCAAATTTGAATGTGGTTCAATGTTTAGTTTTAAAATCCTGCAATTTTCAGATTATAAATGTGGAATAATTCTGATGAGCATTAAAAACACATCACAAGCCAGCCAGTGCACGTGTTGTCCTTCCTTATGCGATACCTTGTGTCTGCCCGCCTGAAAAAGTATAAATAAATGAATAAATAAATAAATAGATTTTATAAAAAATGAAATTTAAAAATTATGTAAAAACTTAGGTTATAATAAAGTAAAATGATATAAAATATAATTATAAATTAAAATAAATCTAACTAAATCAAATAGAATAAAATCAAATGAAATATAAAATCAAATTAGATTAAATCAAATTAAAGTTAAACCAAAAATCTCCTTGTCCACAGGTGACCAAGAGGGCGAGTGTCGGGCGTACGGGAACCTGGGGTCAGCCTACTTCACCAAGGGTCACTACAAGGAGTCCAAGGCCAACCACAGGTTCCAACTGGTGCTGGCCATGAAGCTCAAGAACAGACAGGTCGCTGCCAGTGCTTTGGGCAGTCTGGGACACGTGTACACGGCGATAGGTCAGTGGTTCTCTCTCTCTCTCTCTCTCTCTCT